CCGCGGGCGGGCGGGCGGCTCCTTCTCCCCCTCCTCCTTCTCCTCCTCCTCCTCCTCCTCCTGCTCAGCAGCGGCGGCGGCTGCCTGGGCGAGATCAACAAGTCGGGGCTGAGCTTCGGCTCCGCGCTCCCTGCGATTCTGTCCCGCACTTCGGAGCGCCGGGAGCCGGCACCGAGGCGGGACGGCGCCACCTGCCGGTCGGAAACGCGCGCGTCGCTTAACTCCTCCTTGCCCGGGCCCGCCTGGCTGGGAGACCTGGGGCGGTGGGGGACTCTGGCGGGCCAGGCAACGACCATCCTGCCTGCACCCGCTCTACCCCGGCCTGAGCCGTCGCTATGAGCGTGAGCGCCTGTTGTGCGCAAGGCTCTACCACTGATGTCTGAGATACAGCTGCGGACCAAACACAAACGTCCTGCTCGTGCATCGAGCTGCCTGCAGACAATCAACAAGAAAGTGAAAGATCACGTCAGATAGGGCTAAGCCTGGGGGGATGTTACAGCACGGGGGAGACCTGGGGGTGGGGGTTGACATAGTCCGGGCTTTTGTGAGCTCTGCAGTCTAGATTCTCAAATCTAATTCTAGAACACAATTCTAGATCCTGGTAAGGAAAAGGGACTGTGAGCACATTAACAGATCAATATGCAATTGATGGCTCTTGGGGAGAAGGCTGGGAGGAAACGCAGCAACGCAGGGGAAGAGGGAGGGGGAGAGCGTTTTGCAGCCTGGTGACTCACTGGCTCATTCATGTCAAGTGGGACAGCTGGGTCTTGAGAGCTTCCCGAGAACCAGGCTCCTGAAGGCACTGGCTTCCACCCGGTGCCTGACGGAGACAGAAGCCACCCAGTGCGCTGTGAAATGCATGCCCCGGGCTTCCCTTGGGAGATGGGCAAGGCCTCTGTAAGCAAGCAAGCAAGCAAGCAAACACACACACACACACACACACACACACACACACACACAGATCGCTCTGGCTCTTCATTTCTGTTTGTTTCCATCACGTTGCATAGAACGCCATTGTATCTCTCTAACCTGCTTGGTCCCCCCACCTCCTTCCCTCACTACGGTCCTTGTCCCAGGCACCATTATCCCCCTCATCTCATCCTGCCGCCCCCTCCCTGTTCTCTCTGCTCCCACCTTTGCCTCCTGCACTTCCTGCGTGGACCCTGCCACAACCAATAACCAAGGCTTGGTTTCAAAGCCCGAGTCTCCCTCAGGCTTCAGACTTTCCAGGGACTTGCCCTTGCTTTAGGCTAAATCCTAAGCTCCTGACCTGGTGCACTGATTCAATCTGCTCTCCTCTCTGTTTGTAGACCCATGGGGGGAGGAGGGGAGGCAGGCAACTAAAAATGAGAAAAATTCCGGACTACAGGGAGTGTCATAAAGGAAAGGAGAGGCCGGCAGGGTGGGGGTGGAGAGAGGCCAGTGAGGGAGCGGGTCACCTCACACAGGTGGGAAGGGAGCAGAGAAGAAAAAATAAAGGCCCAGTCCTGGAGCAACAGAAGGATGGGAACTCCCGGCAGGGAACTGGGGTGTGGATGCTCAGGGTGGGGAGGCATAGGACACATTTATGGAGCAGCGAGCCAAGGAGAGTGGCTGGGGCAGAGGAAATCGCTCACATGGCCCCTGATGAGGACTTCAGCTTTCACCCTGAGTAAGCTAGATGGGGGCCAAACAGGGTGCAGAGCTGGGAGCAGGGAGCCCAGGGAAAGCCTGTGGAGGGAGGCGGTCATGGCAACGAAGAAGTGGTCAGACTCAATGTTTTGCAGTCAGCATTATCTGATGGTTTGTACATGGCAGATGACAGACAGGGAACAGGTGGCTTGAAAACCTCCCACTTCACAACAGCATTCTTAGCATCAGACGTGGCTCTCAGCTGACCCTTCTGCTAAACTAGATGGCTGAAGGCAGCCTCCTCCCAGAGATCTGGGCTTGTCTGTAGGAGGTTTCAGAAAGCAATAATGTACCCCTGGACTAGAGGAACAAATGACTCTCTAGCCAGGCATGGTGGAACACCCCTGTAATCCCAGCACTCAGGAGGCAGGAGGATCCTTGCAAGTTCAAGACCAGCCTGGGTTACAAAGTAAGCTTAAGGCCAGTCCAAACTGCATTGCGAGACCCAGTGTCAAAAAGAGCAAAAATGAACAAAAAGACTCTGAAGTGAAATTCCTAGGTATTACTGCAGAATACATCATCCTGGTACACCTAAAATGACAGCCAGTGGAGCCAGCCTTCTCCACTCTGCTGGGCCAAGTTTGCTGAGCACCTACTACAAATAGCTCCAGGGGTATTCCTAGCTGACAGGATAACAGATACAGACACTGGAGGCTCAGAGAGGTGGAATGGTGACAGTGTCTTGCTGGGAAACTTCCAGACCGATGGGCTGTTGAAACCCTTGTCTGAGCTCATGTGTGCATGCTGCAACCCACATACATGGCTTGTGTTACAGATCTCATGCTGTTTCTTATTTTGCTCTAAGCTCCATCTGTGTCACCATGAGAACACCAATCTGCAGCTCCGGATAGCTGCACCATTGTCTCTGAGGACCCGTGTCCCCCTCCTCGTGCTCCACCCCAGCCCTGTGTCCCTCAGAGGGCCTCCAGTTTCCCCTGCCCTGATGAATGTGTGGACCGGCATCTTTGCACACATCTGCCCCTGGACTGCGGTGAGCACCCCTGGCATTTGTGCAATATTCCTGCAGGCTCGAGCCTGGTGGGACATCGGGTAAGGACGTATAGAACTAAGGCACCCAGGTCTGCCTTGTAGGTCTGCCTGGGACTACATCTTAACCCAGTGTCTGGGAGTCCCAGCACCCCAGGTCTCTGCCAACATTGCATATTACCCAGGGGTCTAAATTCTGCCAGTCTAGCAGGCGCATAGTGACAGCTCAGTGGATTTAAACAAACCAAATCTGTAAACTGCTTGTGCACAACATCAACCATTTTCCTGTTGGGAATCCTGTTTTTATTTCTTAGATGATTTGCAGAACTCCTTGGTATAATCTAGATTTTAGGATCCCTGGGGACTTCAAGTACTGCCAATACCTTCTTCTGCTCCATCACATATCCGCTGACTTTGTTCATGATGCCTTTGTTAAAGAAAATGTCTTTGGATGTGTCCAGAACAATTTGTTCTGGCTAGATGGCTTGACTTAGACAGTTTTATGAGTTCCTCCTTGTTGACTAATTTTATACTTTTATCTTTTACTTTAGGTTCTGAGTCAATTATACATACGCACACGTAACTGACTTACATGTATTATTTGATGGGGGCTCAGCATTATTTTTCTCTATAGTTAGCTGGGTTTCGGGGGGGTTGTCTTTTTTTTTTTCTTTTGACATATGGTCTCACTATAAAGTTCAGGCTGGCCTTGAGCTCACTTTGTAGCCCAGGCTGGTCCCAAATTCCCAATGATCCTCCTGCCTCAGCCTCCTGAGTGCTGGGATTACAGGCATGCAGCACCACACTGGGCGTTAGCTAGCTTTCTAAAACAATCCATGAAGTAACCAGTCCCTTCCCCCATTGATCCTAGAGACCCCCTCTGCCATGTGCCATGGTCTGTTTGTATAGTCCCTATGTGGTCCTGTTTTAGTGCTGGTGTCCCTAAGGATGTGGTAGGCCTAGT